ATGACCGCGCAGAAGTACCTGGGCAGCCGCGCGCTGGCGGCGCAGCGGACCTGGGCGCGCTTCATCCCCGGCCGCGTGGAGTTCTTTTCCAGCCAGCAGCCCCCCAACGCCGGGCTTGGCCAGCCCCCGCCACCCCTGCCTGTCATCGCGCTACCTGGGGTGGACGACTCCTACCCTCCCCAGAAAAAGTCCTTCATGATGATCAAGTACATGCACGACCACTACCTGGACAAGTATGAGTGGTTCATGCGCGCCGACGACGATGTCTACATTAAAGGTGACCTCCCAGCGCCGGCTGTCCCGCCTCCCCGCTTTCCCGACTCCTTTCTCAGCGATGAGCCCCAGTCCCTGCCCAGCCCCTCTCTGCTTCTCTGCCAGCACGTGCTCCGGGCTCCTGCAGCCCTCAGCCCGTCGCCCCCACCGCTCGCGTTCGCCCACCATTCCTAGTCCGCCCCTCCTCCTCTTTTGCGGTCTGGACCCTCCTCACACCTGCCTGGCTTTTTTCGCCTCCCTCAATCTTGCTGTTCCCGTTTCTGCTCATCGCTTGCTCCTACCCTTTACCTGGTAGGAAGGATGAGAAAAGGGACATTAGGGTTAAACCCGAGGCTTTTCCCACTCCACCCTGCTATGAAAGCCCTGGGTGGTGGTAGTTTCCCTTATCGGTCCAGAGGGGCGTGTCCTCGGTAAAGAAAGGGAGGGTTGGGATGCCCGCGAGAGCCAGTCTGGAGACCCGTAATCTTGATTTATTCCCTTACCCTTTTGTTTTAACTGGATCTAGCGCACTTTCGGTCCCAGTGAGACTGAGGAATCATCGCTGTGCGTTTCCTTCCCTTTCGCACGACCCGCCACTCACTGGGAATCCTTGACCACCCCCACCGCTCCAACGCGCAGCTCCTTCAGGCCACCACAGTGCGGCATCACACCGTCCCTAACCCCCCGCCACAGCTCAGTAAAACCCCGAGGGGATGGGTGTATTGATAGCAATTGGTTGTAGGGAAGGAGGGGACAGCGCCCGCGAATTTCCCGGACCCCAGAAGCTCCAAGCTGTGCTGGCACACACTAGTATGGATTCTTTCCAGTCCATTTTGGTGATTGCGGCGTAGGCAGCAGAAGCTGGAAGTCCTTCCAAAAACCGCGCGCAGCCCCAGCACGAGAAAACTTTGTCAGTTTTAAAAGAGGCGCTGTCCTTCATCCTGCGTGTGAGTAGCTTTGGCCAGAGAATTATAAACTCGGCGGAGGAAAGTTCCTTAGAGCATGAGTGAAGCTTTACAGTCCTGCTCTCTTCGGGGAGAGACGCAAGGGAAGTGGCAGGGTTGTATTGAGGGAGGGCTCCCTGTGCTTCCCACATTTCTTAGCTTCGTGGTCAAAGGGGGGCAGCCCTTCCTTAGTTTATGCCACTCTCCTTGCAGCCTCATTGCTTTCTCCTGATTCTTGTAGTATCTTCTGCATAGTCAAGGAAAAACAAACAAACAAATACTCCCCCCACCAAATCTATCACATTTTGACCCAGGGACTGAGTGTAGAGGTAGAGATTTCTTGGGTTTGAGTTGGGAGCAGCGAAATCCTTATGGCTGGCTGGCACAGGAAATATTAATAGATATGAAAATAAAGAATTGGATAATTGGATACAAAAATAAAGAAATGATTGCATTCCTGGTGAATGCACTGTCTTAATAGGTAGATAGGTAAATAGGTAGATGTCTGTAAGTGATAGATCCACTATCATGCAGTCCCCAAGTCTTCTGTTTCTCATTCGAGTCATGAAGGTTTCCTGGCAGAAGTTTGCCACACTTTGTAGACAATTTCTAAAATGCATTAACAGCACCCACTTCTGTCATATCTTTTAATACTCTGAAAGATTCTCCTTCAGAACACTGAAATGTCATATTCTTTCCATTTCTGTTAAGAATGAAATGCGTTTTGTATTAAGAACCCAATAATAGCTGAAACTCATTGAGATCCAAGGGGCGTGGCATAAGATCAAGATATGACTGCAGATGCTGTGCTCATCAAAAATGATAGTAAAGATGCTGACTGGGAAGTAAGGAAGGTGACTGCTTATTCCAGTGTATCACTCTGTAGGCTACCAAATGCTTTTGAACTGTTTTAGCTACAGATCATTATTTTTAAATTGTTTTTCCTGATGAACATACAAAATAGGACCCAATTACATTATTTATATTTTAACATGTTATTTTTTTCTAAAAGTGTGCTTTCCAAAGTTCTAAAGTGTTACAGTGCAAGATTAGTTTGATATTCCCCCTCCCTCTGTCTCTATCTCCCTATATATATATACAAATACACACCTTTTGGGTTGTATATGACTTTAGTTAAGGACAAAAGACTAAACTAAATCAATTATCAGGAAAAATAATTATTGAATAGCAATGGTCTCCCAACCAATGCCAAAGATTAATATTTAATATTGTATTTCTGGGAATTTTATCACTACTTTACACATCCTAAGAAACCTGTCTTTATTCTCTTTATCACTATTTCACCTTTTTAAAAAATCTGATGATTGTTAGACTTATTGAGGTTTTTCGTTGACTTAAAGGTTGAGAAAAGTTTATTGTGATTTAATTAATACCTGTAAATTAGTCTTTTTTTAAATAAAAGAATATTCAGAGAGGTTTTTCATCTTTTCAGTTACATACGACCTGTGGGGAGTTTATGCACAATGTTGGAAGTTCTTTCCTTTGTGTGTTATTAATGATTATGAAATTAGGAAAAGGAGTGATTATTGCCTTTGTCTTTGTAGGTGATAAACTGGAAGAGTTTCTCAGATCACTGAATAGCAGCAAGCCCCTCTACCTGGGCCAGACTGGCCTGGGGAATATTGAAGAACTGGGCAAGCTGGGACTGGAGCCCGGGGAGAACTTCTGCATGGGAGGACCTGGCATGATCTTCAGTCGCGAGGTTCTCAGGAGGATGGTACCGCATATTGGCGAATGCCTCCGAGAAATGTACACCACACACGAGGACGTGGAAGTAGGAAGATGTGTTCGCCGTTTTGGTGGGACTCAGTGTGTGTGGTCTTATGAGGTAAGACTTGAGCTGTGATAAAACTGTTCACGTATTACAGGTGGGTGACAATTTACAGTTGGGCAGTGATCCTGTTTATTCTCTCTGCATCTCTGAATTTTCTTCAAAATGATAGCAGCAGTCAGTGATGGACACTAGGGTGATTGTGGGAGATACCTTTCTTATTAGAGCTAAGGTGTGTCTGAAGCTTTCTTATTGGCGTGTCCCTTAACTTTAAGCAGCGGCCTCTATACATAAAGTCTCATCTCTGAAAGATGCTACTTTCCCCTTATTTGCTTGGTGTTTATATACATGTATATCCATTTCCTGTCTCTAACAAGAGGGCTCATTCTCTTCTCTTAGGCTGTGGCTTTTAGCATTTGGTATTTCATTGTTTTTGTTATTTTGATTAGGTATGTAATCCCATCTCTTTGTATTCAAGTAGTCCAACTCTGATGTTTCTTGTAAGATTCTCCTGTGGAAATTGAACATTTTTTTTTAAAGCATAGGAAAATTTAACTTAATGTTATATCACTTATAGATTTATTCACAACATTTTAAAGGGAATGATTTTGTGGAAAAACAGGAGTTCTGAAGATATTAAGTAACTGCTTTAATTATGACTGATTCCCTAATTTTTTTTTTTAGTGTCTGCCCTTACTCCATTTTCTGAACAGCAACCATTATTTAAATAATCTGAGTTATGAACTCTTGTTTTATTTTAGCAATTAGTTTTATGAAATGAGTGGTTTTTTTCCTTCAGAAATTGGTTTTGAAATGAAACGCAGTTTTATTTAAAATAGTTTTCCTGAAAGACAATGTTAGTAAAAGTTGACTCAACACTAAGCAGTGTATTGCAGTTTTTAGTATAGTTTGGTTTTCAAGTGCTAGAGTTGAATGTATTTTAACTACCCAGCGCACACCTATGTAAATTATAGCTTAACTCATTTACTTACCTTTCCAAAGTTTTCATATTCCCTTAGTGTGGAAGAAACATTTTATGAAAATATGTTGCCTGTGAAGTCATTACACCTCAAGATTACACAGTCTTATTCATTTTTCTTTTAGAGGTGTAATCCTACTTTCGTTAATTTTGTTTTCTTTCTTATGCCTCATGGTATATACAC